GCCGGGCCCAGGCCGGGAGCCGGAGCCGGAGCCGGAGGGGGCTTCGTCCCTCGGTCTGCGAGAGGGAGGCTCGGTGAGTTGGGGGCAGGTCTCCCCGCCAGGGCGGAACCCCGGCAGCCGCCGGACAAAGGCACGTGGACGGCGGCCGGGGGACGTGCTCGCCAGCACCCAGGGCTGCGCGTGGCATCGCTTTGTAGCACATCTTCGGGGCCTTTTTGTTCGCTTCTGTCCCTTCTGCAAAGTCCTTTCAAGGCAGGTCACGTGGAGGGAGGCGCTGCGTGGTTTTGGAGAAGGCCTCTGTCTCTTGATCCGTGCAGTGGGGGTACTGGTAGGACCAGACTGTCTGAGCGTGCTCCGGCTGTCTGAGCGTGCTCCGGCTGGGCAGGACGCGCCTCCCTGTGCGATCCGGGGTGCAGCTGGGGGGTCGGCCGGCCTTCCTCCGCAGGCACCTGGCCCCCACTTGCCCCGAACGCTGCTTGTCACCCATTCCCTGCAGCCCGGGCCAGTGAGGAGAGGCTTCCGGACCCTGAGCAGCAGGAGGAGCTGGGAGGGGACTCGGGACAGACAGGGGCTCCTCACCGAGCCCTAACTGGGGGCTTCCTATCCTTTTCTGTCCCCTCTTCCGGAGCGCTCCTCTCCCTGCCCTGGCCTGCCCACTCCCACGTTGGTTCGTGCTCGTGAGTGCTCGCGTGCACTTCCGCATAAACTACTTGGTTCTCACAGCAGCCTGTGGCACGCCAGCCCCGTCTGATCTGCGAGGAAACTGAGGGCGAGGCTCAGGAGAGGTGCAGTGAGACGTCCCATCCAGCTTGGTCTTCTGATGTGCCCTTGATGTCACACGGGTGTCCTGTAAGCCAGGACTTCTGCCTGCCCCACAGCGGCGCCTCTAGGTCAGTGAGACAGACCTGGTGCTCTCCGTTCTGGAACTCAGGCCAGGGCCTCAAGGCCCCATGTCATTCTCTCACGTTGCAGCCGGTGCACTGGAGTCCCCCAGAGGCCAAGGAACCAGGTGGTCAGGGGAGTGTGAGCACTGCGTTCTAGCGCCCAGGAAGACAGAATGGGCTGAACTGGAACCAAGTTGGAAGTCAGCAGAAGCAGGTACGCTGGGAGGGGACCCCATGGCCCGCAGGGTGTCCGAAAGCTGAGGGCAGGAGGGCCAGCTGGGGGCCACCGGGTGCCAATGCATCTGGCCAGATCTGAGTGTTGGAGGAAGCTGTCAGTTTTTGTGGAAAAAGCTCCAAAATGGTAAAGACGACAACTACACATTTAAAAGGTGACCAGGGCAGCCAGCTGCGTGCGTGGCTGGCCGTGGCCTGCGGCCTGCAGGTGGGCGGCGGCTCTGCTAGGCCTAGGAAGCACTCGCCCTCCCGTGAGACCCACGGGGCACACGGGCAGGAGTGGGGCCTCCCTGCTGCTTTTCCTGAACTGCAGAGACGTAGATGAACCTGAAGATAGTGATTAGCACCCGCTCTGGGAGCCTGGAGGAGCCTGGAGGGGGCCGGCTGTGTGGCTCAGCCCTCACTCATGCAGCCAGCACTCCGCTCACCCCCGACTCTTCCTACACGGTGAGGATGTGCCCAGCCCGTGCTTTTTGTTGGCTTGTTTTCAGGTTTTTGCCATAGGGCGTGTGCGCTGGAGAGAGACAGAGAGAAATGAGAAATCATCCCCTAGGGCACCCACATGCCAGCATGAGTTTCAATCCACCAGGTCTGAGACTCGAACTGCAGTCAGCTACGTGAGAGTCCAGCGCCTTAACCGCCATGCCACCTACTAACCCACAGCCCTGGTTTTAATCAGTCTCTGTGTATGTTCTGTGTGCCCAGCAGAGCCGAGGATACCATTCGCCCATGGGATGTTCGGGGCATGCCGAGAACACGAAGGAGAGATTTCGGTTGGTCAGGCTTAGCCCATGACGAGGTACGCTGGGGTTTCATTTGGGTTGTGTTTTGTACCCAAGCGATAGATGAAGAGCCCTGTGTTGAAAGCCCGCAGCCTGTGGCCCTGCCTCGCCCGTACAGACTTGTGAGCCTAGGGAAATAACATAGAGCGTGCCTGGAATGTACCCGTTTTTCAAGAACACGAGTTATTAAGAAATGTGTCTAAAATACAGAAATATATAGGAAAAGAAAGTTCCCTTTACCTTTCTCCTCCCTCCCCCCCTCAGAGGGAACCGCTGTAAATGCATTTCTTTCCAGGCCTTTGTTTTTTTTCTTACTTAAAAAAAGTTTGCCAGAGGGTTTAAGGGCTCCCTAGAGAGAGGCAGAGAGAGAGGGAGAGAGAGAGAGAGAGAGAGAGAGAGAGAGAGAGAGGGGAAAAGTGAGAAATCAGCCCCCTGGGGAAAGGCCATGTTGCAATCCCTATTCCATGTCCCCACTTTTCACAATTGGGGTGCCCGCAGGTGCCCTGTGTGTGTCAAGCTGTCGGGTTTGAGACTCCGGACAGTTGCCACGGGGACCCAGAGGCCTTGCCCACCAGGCTCCCGGCTGGCCTCCAGGTCTTTTCAGTGCATCAGTACATGGCTAGCGGGTCTGGAGCTCTAAGTGAATATTTAACATATGGTTCATTGATATTTCAGTATAAGACAAAGTAATATTACCTGCATTTCCAACTTTAGGACCAACCTAATTATATTAAATGCACTTTAAACACTCTAAAATGGGGTCATACGTACTAATGCTTTCTGAGTTACTTTTTCGACTTGCCAGTATGACTTAGAAGTCTTTCAGTGTCAATAACAGATACTATTTTTAATGGCTACATGGTATTTCGTAATGTAGACACGCTCACGTATTTAAATATTCCGTATTGATGTAGGTAGTTTCCATTGTAGCCTATCTGCGTATCTTTATCTGTGTGCATATTGCGTATTTCTGAATGACTGTTCTTGGCAGTGGAATCGGTGGTCCAGGGAAGGTTGGCTGTATGTCATTCATGACAGAGCGTGTGCACTCAGGGGTGGGGGGCATCCCACAGAGCTCGGTCACACTGTGTGCCCTTCCTCCAGCCCTCCAGCCAGCCAGAACCCTGGGCCTAGTGTGCTTTCAGGGCGGCCGGGCCAGGGCCCTGGACTGTGGTCAGCACGTGGCTTCCAGTTCTGCAGTTCGGTGTGTTCCTGGCTGAACCACAGACGCTGGGCCAGACATGGATGTTTTTGTTGTGGTTAGGTTTTTACCATAGGGCATGTGTGCAGGCCAGAGAGAGAGGGAAAGTGCGAAATCACCCCCTGGGGGAATGGCCGTGCCTCAGTCCCTTCTCCATTCTCCTCTCCGGATTCTGGGTATGTACACACATGCCATAGAAGTGATTTTTTTTTTTTTTTTTTGAGAGTTCTTTCACTATAGGGTGCATGCGCTTGCCAGCCAGGCAGAGAGAGACAGAGAGACAGAAAGCGAGAAATCACCCCCCCAAGAGGGGATGGCCACGCTGCAATCCCTTCTCCATTCTCCTCTTGGGATCTCGGGCACGCATGCACGCGCGCCTGGTGTGGGTTTTAAGCCACCGGGTCCGGGATGTGAACCGCGGTCAACTACGTGGGAGTCCAGCGACATAGCCATTATGCTAAACTGCGGGTTCCCTCATAGGAGTGATTTTCAAGCTGTTGGGTCCAGGACTCAAACTGGTTGCATGTGTGTAAATCCAGTACCTTAACCACCACACCACCTGCTGACTGGCCTCCAGGAATGTACATTTTAAGCATTTATTTAAGCTGAATTCTTTTTGTTTATGGAAGTCTGGGAGATTATGCAGAAAAAAGAGCTCAAATTCATTATTTCAGTTTGCTTGTTTTGGGTAGGCACTCTATTTAAGTGCAGCATTGAAGTTACACTTGGTAACATCCTCTTCCCCCTCTG